AAAATGAAAATCTTCAGATTTACGAAAAAGAAAAAAGCAAAAAGAAAAGAAAAAAAAAAGTTATCTTCTTTGCATATGCATATATTAGCTTTCATGCATTTCTTTAGCTAATCTTTTCATTTCTTACTAAACTAAATTTTTTTCCATTTAAATAATTTAATTTAAATATTAACATTATCAAAGAATTGATGAAACTTCGAAATTATCCGCCTTCTAGTTAATTAATTAATCAATTAATTAATTGATGACATTTTAGGAGATTCAACTGAAATAGATGATACAATTTGGTAATGCAAAAATAGATTTTATTCATTTATTTTTTCTTTTTTTGATGCTATCATTTCATGATGGCGCAATTTGTTAATGAAAAAAAAAAGAAAAAGCGGAAAAGATTTTAGTATCGTTTCTTTTTTTTTTCTTGTCCGTTTGCTTCTCGTTTTTTGCTTTTTAACAAGGTATAAATTGCTATGAACTGCTAATGCTAATACGGTAAAGCTTGAATTTTCCATTCATTCAATCAAGCAAAAATGGAATGTAAAAATGCATTCCTTGACTAAAAAAAAAAAAATCTTTAAGAAGCAAAAAAAATTAGCATAAATACTGATTTAAAAAATGTGGAAAATTTTTTGGATGATTCAGAATCTTTGCTGATTCAGAATCCTCTCTGATTCGAAATCCCGTTCTTTTTTTTCTTTGTTTTTGTCTTTTTCCAATGGGAATTGTTTAGATAAGAAATGAAATAGAATGAATTTTTCCATTCCTCAAATTTCATCCAATTAAACAAATGTAAAGAAATTAATAAAAATAATTGAATATTTGAAATTTCCCATTTCTTTACGTTATTTTACATTTAATTGAAAATTTATGTATCATAATTTGATTGCATACTTGTTATCTGAAATGAAAAAACATAATTATTATTAGAAATGAAAAAAAATGATAATTATTTGCATATTTATTATCTAAAATGAAAAGAAAATGATAATCAATTACGAATTTATTATTTAAAATGAAAAAAGAAATGACAATTGATTACGTATTCATTAGTTGAAGTGAAAAAAGACTGATAATTAATTGCATATTTATTATCTAAAATGAAAAAAAAAATGATAACCGACTACAAATTTATTATTTAAAATGAAAAAAGAAATGATAATTAATCAAATATTTATTTATTTGAAATGCTGAAATTGTCAACTAATCTAGCTCTAATTTATGATGACAAAAAAAAACGAAGAAGAAATAGGTGAAAGATTTCTTCATTTATCAAAACAGAAAAAAAAAACTGTTGATAATAATATTATGGTAATGTTTGTAAAATTAGTAATACTTTTTTTTTATCAGTTAAAAAGAAAAAGAAAAAAACTGTATGAATTTAATAATTGGTTGTTTACGTATTATTTCCTTTTTTTTCCCCCCCATAATTATCAGTACAATAATAAAAATAGAAAAATAAAAATTAAAAGAAAAAAAACGGAGAATTTTTTGAAATGATAAAATATGAACAAATAATAATAAATCATTAAATAAATAATATGTCAAATTGTTTAATTTGTTTTTTTTCTTAATTTTTTTTCTCAAAAATTAATTGATCATTTTAATTAGTAGTAAAAAGTATTTTTTGTTTGCAACTTTTTTTTTTTTATTTTCAAAAATAAAAATAAAAAAAATAAAAGATTTGCCGGAAAAAAAAATCGTAGTAAAACTATCAAAAATTTTAAATTATAAAAATATTTTACGGTATGATTTAGAAAAAAAAAAAAGAAAAGTGAGATATTTCATTTGAAAATTGTA